AAAAGGAAGGAAGGTAGTGATATCTATTCTGTATTTACTACTATGAGTTAGACATGCAGTTCAATGCTTATGTATCTTCAGTAATTTTTAAGTCCAATAAGGTAGTCACTTTGTGCATAAAAAAGCTGAATCAGGAAAGTTAAAGATAAATAAATAAAATAAACAGATAGTTTGGACACCAAAACCCATGACTTTTCCATTATACCTGCATGACTAATGTGGTAGCTGAATGATTTTCTGGCATTGAGATCCTAATAAATGTACTCGTCAATTCTCCCTCACAGAGTAACCTTTTTTGGGGGAGAGAGGGTTTAGGATACATTCCATATTCCTCAAGATAATTCTGCATTAAAAACTTCCTTAAGTGGGGCTAGCAGTTGACATAATGGCTATGTTGCTGGACTCCCACGTAGTCGACTGTAGTTCGAGTCCTGGACCCGGTGCTTAAACTCACGCCAAGCACGTGTGCATGCGTGTCCAAGATCCCAAGAGGAAAATGGAGGAGAAGGGACTGCGGCATGGCCATCCCCCGTGGGGGATGATATCTTGCTTTCTGTCTCTTTGTCTCTCTCTGTCTCTCTGGTGAGCGCACGCACCCTATAGCAAAAACCTCTCCAAAAAAAAGGGTATTTGAGGATATAAAGAAAAGACATTTCAGATAACAATAACTCTATATAAAAATACAGATGAGAAAATCTTTCAGTATTAACCATGAGACAGCTACTAAGTTATCACATCAGAAAATATTGCCATTAGTCTGCCACTTGTAATACTCTTATAGTTAACGGAAGTCTCCCTCTCTGATTTTATTGAATAGACATAACTGTGGCTTTATAAAACTATTTGACTAGGGATCAGCAGTTAGCGTAATGGCTATGTCGCTGGACTCCCATGTAGTCGACCACGGTTCGCGTCCAAACTCACACCAGGCACGTGTGTGTGCGTGCCCAAGATCCCGAGAGAAGAACGGAGGAGAAGGGATTGCGGCGTGGCCATCCCCCTTGGGGGTTATTTCTCGCTTTCTGTCTCTCTCTTGCTGTCTGGCAAGTGCACACGTCCTATAGCAAAAACCTCTCCAAAAAACAAACAAACAAAAAAACCAAACAACAATAACAATTTGACTAGTTCCTGTTGGAATATCATTCTAAAGCATGAGTTAAAATAATCATATATTTAAGGTACATTAAAAAGGATTTTTTTTAGGTTTTACTTTTAAGCTTTTTATTTTTTTCGGAGAGATTTTTTGCTATAAGGGTGCATGTGCTCACCAGACAGAGAGACAGAAACCTTTTTTTTTTTTTAGG